TATGTAAGTGGGGCCGACTGGGGGGGGGGCTTGGATTTGCACGGGAAGACGCGAAGGCGCACGAAGAACTCATTTGCTTGCCTCCGGGAGGAAAATGTCTCCCTGCTATCGACTCCCGCCCCCCAATCCGTTCGGCCTCCTTACCGAAAATACCGACCCATAAAACACTAGGGTGTGTAGCTCCTCACCGCGATGTCCAGGGTGTGAATGAACTCCAGGAACCCCACGAAATCAATCATTGCAGCGTCCTTGCCGTCTTGCCCCCCGCCGCCGGCGGCCTGGTGATGTTGGCCGCGGCGGTGAAACGAAGCTTTCTGCGCCTTAGCCGTGGCAGCGGCGACGTCTTCTTCCATGGCCGTGCCGGACCGCAGCATCTTTCGGACGGGCGCCCAGTCGGCCAGGCGGCTGCCCGGCAGCAGCAGCCTGGAGCCGGAGCCGCAGTCGTTCTCCCTGCTAGCGGTAGCGGTGGCGTCGTGCTTGTACTCGAGAACCAGTTCCGTGAATGCCTCTTCGAGCTCGTCCGCCTGCGTGTGACCGTGTGATTTTTATTGTTATTAGCATCGACCGCGCTAACCGGCTGACCAATTAAAAGAGCCAGTGGCTGTGTGTGCACGTGTTTGTGATCCCAGTGGTATCGACGGCATGAACGTGGGTAAGGTGTAGGTGTAGCGGTTCAAATATCTGGTAACAGTGTCGACTTCCTACGATGGAGTCGGGTCGGATTCCCCCCCCCCCGCAGCAGCCGTTGTGCAGGTTATCCGAGGCAAGGCAAAAATACTCGCGAGTGGATCACACATCAGAGCCCCCCTGCCTACCGAAAAACACACAGTCGGTGCCCGAAGTTTTCCAAGCGTCGCCCACCAAACACAGACCTTCATAAACGGCACCTCTGGCCTCCGCCCAGTCACGTCTAGTACGACAGATCGAGCCTGGATGATCAGGCGCAGCACCTCTACCTCCAAGGCAGGTAGGTGCTCGAGGTCTCTAAAAAACGAGGGGTGATGTCGAACCAGGGATTGATTGACGCAGTGAGCTGAGGTGACCCAAGCTGACTGCCACCACCTATTTGCGTGCGTACCTCGAGGTATCCCTTGTCTTGGAGCGTGTCAATCGTCGGCCGCAGAGAGAGGGTCCCTTCCAGGTAGTTGCGGGCATCGCGGTGGGCCTTCTCGAGCTCATCTGGCGCGACCCCCTGTGTGATTAACATTCAGGGAACAAGAATCATGAGCATCTTGAGACTGTGCGCTTCGCGTACAGGGAACAAATTCAATGGTATTTTGAGACTGCATGACGTCAGGCAACAGAATCACGAGATTCTTGAGGCTTTGTGCACGACGTACAGAGAACAAGAATCATGCGCATCTTGAGAAACTGTGTGCATAACGTACAGAGAACAGAATCATGCGCATTTTGAGCGAAAACAGGAGCCCAAGGGGGCAAAAAAACTGGACGCGCCTCTTCTCGTCCTCGTCTGGCTGTACTCCATGATGAGCGTACAATGCACAGGGAACAGAATGATGAGCATTTTGAGCGAGAAGAGGGGGCGCCTGAGGGAGCAAAGGACTGGACAGGGGTGCAGGCATGGTGTACACTCTGCACGGGGTGCCGTGTTGGCAGTACTGTGTCCTCTGTCGATTCGGCTCACCAAATGAAGACAAAAGAAGAAGCGTGGAGCACTTGCTAGTCGTCATCAGCGCAGAAATATGCCCACAGCCAGAACACCCAGAGAGACGCGACAAAAAAACGGAGATAGAACACCCCCACCACACACTGATGATGCGAAACGACAACCCACATCGAGATAGACCCCCTTGTGCGAGAGCTCTGCAAGCGCCGGCCTGTGGGCGAGGCCGTGTGCTAGCGTGTGTGTCAGGTGGGCGCGCTCGACGGCCCCCTCTGTTGGGGTCTTCTCCAGGTAGATACCCTTGTTGGCCTGCAAAACAGTACAGCACAGTAGTGGAATGCAACAAACAAAGTAGGGCAGATTGAGGCAACAGAAAGATACAACGCGAAACATGCGTTTCGAAAGGCAGAAGTCCTGGCCTCGTGAACATGCTCGTGGATGTATCCCCTGCCCATGGCCACTGAATGGAGATAAACCAAATAACAACGGATACCAACACGAACTTCGGATCGGCAAGAACCAAAACATATCATACCCAAGGTAGCCAATTCCATGCCGGATCCTCTCTGGCGTGGCGAGCGTTGAATGTGCTACCCTGTCACCATAGGTACTAATCGTGATAACGTCTAGCATGTAGCCAATCCAAAATATAAATTTTGAAGAATATACAATTGGTGAGAAGGTGTTGAAAATGTGTGTACGGCAACAAGCTTACCAGGCGTTCGAGGGGCTCCCTCTTGCCAAGCTCCTCCTCCAGCCCGCGGGCAATCAAAGCGTTTCTCCTGAGGGTTGTTTGCACCGAATGGCCCGAAAATGGTTGATAGAGTCGAATCAGGCACGTATGTAGCATCAGAGTGAGCCGAATCAGCGCCTCAAAAGCTAACCAAGTCAAAGGTGGCAGGATTAGCCCAACGAACTCGGCACTGCTGCCAAGCCTACATACCTTGCTCTACGCTCTACTTATACGATGGATAGGGACGGCGCGGCGCTAAGCACGCAGTAGGCATTTTCAATCCTGTCACCGCCCACTATCACAACTGCATGGATAGTCGTTTGTATTTGTCGGATGATGTGATCACACACACTTCTGACGGTTGAACAGGAGTTCGAACCTCGGCACAGCCACACGAGCGTTGATTTTTCTCTCACTGCACCATGCCCCCAACAAACCAGGGACAACCAACTATCCGTGAGTACACTTAACTCGACCTCACGGTTGGCGCGGAAGAGGACAGGCTGGATCTTTATGCTTCTCGCGATGAAAGTTAAGGCGAGCATCGCGGCAGGAAAGTGAGGAAAAATAAAATTTTGCGTGGCCTTCTCCCTGTAAGACCCCGGCGGGTGCGTCCAAGTAATACCCCAAACGGTGTGAAATCGACATCCAAAAAAAGTGGGATGGCAAAACACACACAAGGTATCATATGGGGGGTGGTAAATTCCGTATAGCGTGGAATACGTATGGTACAACCACCACACCTGCGGTTCCCCTCGTGGTGCTCCTGGTCCTCCAACTCTGGCCGCATCCGCATGAGCGCCCAAAGCTTGAGGGAGCAAGGCTCCTCCTCCACCTTGCCGAAAGCAAAACGGCGGAGGCAGAACAGCAGACGGCAGCATGAGGAGAAACAGCAACATGAACCAGCATGGGAATCGCTTCATCTGCACGAAGTAGGTAGTAAATAGTCTAAAGGGGGAAATGAAGTGGCTCTAGAAGCACTATTCCCGAGTTTCCATCAGTACTGCTGGCGTCGAGAACGGCAGCGAGGAACATTAGCAAAGGTAGAGCAGCGGCAATTAGAGTGTGTATCATCAAACAACCACGGGCAGCAAGCTGCCCAGGAATGGAACAACAAGGAGGACGGGCGCACTATAATAGGACGAGAGGATTCGTCGAAAAAACGTCGAAAACGGCAAACAAAAAACGATACAACAACGATAGCAACCAACGTCAAGAGAATAGCGGTTGCTGCTTGTCGCCGACAACGCACGCAATTTCTTTCAGAGCGTGTACATCCAATCGCTGAGATACAACCCGTTCGAGACAAACACCACAGTCGCAGGGGGGGGGGGTGTTGAAGTCTTTGCACGGAGTCGGAGAAAAAAAGAAAAAAAAATTCTTCACGCGGGAAGTCATCCACTCACTCACCTGTGTGGTCTCCGCCGAGGACAGGAACTTATCGAACTCCTCGTAGCTCATCTGCTGCCTTTCACCACCACCGCCGCCGCCGCCGTCGCCGTCGCCATCGGGGGTCTTCATGGCCATCGCAAAGGCGTCCTTAACGACCGACATTCTTACCTGTCGGTTGAATTTTCGACCACGTTTTGCCGGTGAGTCAACGTGTGCTCGAGTTGACCAATCGAAACCTTACGTTTTCCTTGCCGACGGGGTTCATTTGAAGGGAAAAATGAGTCGGAAAAGGACACGATGGTAAAATTAATAACCTTCGAACGATTGATACTGCCGTGGTGACGGCGTACAGCGAAAGGCGACCATTTCCCGTGAAAGCAACAACGACAATAGAACCACCGACAAGAATACTCAAGTCCGTCCAGGCAATTCGAGAGGTTCGGATACGCACAAAACACCAAGCTTCTGCTTGGCCAGGCTTGAGCGGTACGTTGTAGAGAAGTCAGAGTAGGACGAAAAAAAAAAGGCTTCTGCGTTCGCCGGGACCGGGACGTGGTACACATCGTCATGACTGTACCCGGGAAATTCTCGTTGAATAACGCTAACTCCCGACGACCCATACCGAGAGGACGTGCGTTCATTGGCAAAAATTCCATACATGACGAGTGACGAGAACCTCCGTTCACGCCGACCCAAATGCTTAATGCTTTTCGTTTTGGTCCGTCTAACATTCGTGAGCCGCTCAACATTGTCCAACCTACACTAAAGACCCCCTCACCTTTCGCTTAGGGTCGTTTCTTATGCCATGCACGGCTGTGTCAGGCAAACCAAACAAAGTAACTGAAGGTCATCGAAGACCTCCCACAAGCGGTCCCTGCAAGGGTGAAGCTCGCCTTTCATTCAAATTTTCGCGAACCCCAAGCGGGGCTACGACGAGCTTGGTGCTTTGCAAGCCTGGCGTGCGAAAAACGGCCTACTTCATGCCTGCTCTGCCGTTACTCGAGGTCAAAAGACTCCGGGGTACTCATGACCATTGGCACCCCCCCCCCCCTCCCACGGCATGTACAAGTACGGCCACGAGTACAGACACACGCTCCTCATGAATTTGTGCGGCTGCGGCTACAAGAACCCACCACTCCTTCCTTGACCGCGGTGGCGACGAGCGGCCACTTCAGCACGTCGTCGACCGTCTTGATCGGCCCGCCTTGCTCCTTCTCGAGAGTCTCGAAGGCGCTCTTCAGCTGAGACGCCTCCAGCACCCCGCGGTCCATCAGGTCCTCTCTTGAGTACAATTCACGACAGCCAACACATGGCAAAAAATAAGTCACCACCGCCGCCACCATCACCACCATCGTCATAAAAAAAACAACAGTGGCGAAGAAAAAATCAACAGCAGCAGGTGGAGGAGCAACAGCACTATTTATCAACAGCAAATACAAAAAGCACCGTACTTGCGTGCTTGTTTGATGCATGTTGCTCTCTAGAACGTGCACGGAGAAAGAGCGGTGAAAGGGCATGCATGCCATGTAGTGTCCACATCCCCGTCACGGCTGTGGCGCCTCCAACCACATTACAGCATGACCTAGACTTGTGAGATCTCCTCCTTGACCCAATCGACCTCTGACAACATTCGAACTGCGAGTAATCAACAGGCAGAGGCCCACGATAGTCGCAGCAAACCTGAGGGCAAGCAATGCATCCAGGGGGCCGCCCGGTTGGGGGAATCACAGAGAATTCCCAGATACGATATGAAGCGCCCCTTCCGCCGTGAAGGGGGGGTCACCCGCGATGAAATCGGTAAAGTATGATCAGGAGAACCAAGCAATAACGCCTCTCTCGCCGACAAACAAAGCAACGACCAACAAGAAACGAATGCCAAGTTGACAAGAGCCAAGCCAAAAGGTGTGGGTGTGAAATTGTTTTTTATACCTGTAGGGGCGTTCTCTGAACGACTTGCTTATCACATCGCCCAGCATGGCCCTCTGGAGGCTCTGCTTGGCCCGGTCTTCCTGGCTGAGGTAGATCCCTCTCTCCTTCAGGTCGGAAATATTGGCCCTGCTTGCTCAAAAACGCGAGAGACACACACAATACGTTGGTAAGCCGGTTAACGCGGTCGACAAAAAAAAAACACGCATAGACACACACTGAGGCTGACGTCTTTTCATTGGTCAGCCGGTTAGCGCGGTCGATCACAACATTTTTCGCCTTGAACTGGAGTTGACAGCAACGAAGCAATCGTGCAGCTCTCTATTGGCACGCACATCTACGCGTTTTCCCTGTGCCCAGGCTCTCGTGATGGCTGTCAACATTCGCGGGGAGATATCACACGGAACATGTGTCCAAGGCAGCAGCACATGCACGAATACCCCTCTCGCCGACCTTCATACGTGCTTGTTGTCGCTTGCTTCTTTTCTCGGTCCGCTTTCTCTGCCGTCTATTTATCTGTTCTGCTGGGTCTCCGTCAGTTTTTTATTTAACATTGCCTCTGTATTTTCTTGATGCCTTCCTGTCTCTGTTGACGGGTACAACTACCGAACGGGTTCGAGGGGCGGCAAAGTAGGCCACGAAGGCAAAGCTAAGATGCATTCGTACCGGCTACAAAACCCATAATATGTTGTCAGCGATTCGGGTGTGATACCCCCTGGGAGAGCAGGTTGAAACGAAGGCTCGCACTTCGCCGGAATAACCACGCATATGCAACCATAGGGAAGTCGTTTCTCCATCCTCAGGATTACCACGGAGCTACGGACAAGTGCCAGGAAGCGAAAACAACAACGAGAGCCAACAACGACAACACCGTTAGCACCGTGGTCATGTCCACCCACCTGTGGCCAAGCCCCTGCTCGAGGAAGGCCCGCGCCAGCCTGTGCTGCTTCTCGTCTTCCACCAGCTGCTCGGGGGTGCGATAGATGCCCCGGGCCTTAAGCTCATCCAGGGAGGGGTGGCGGCGATGTTGGCCCTGTCGTGCGTCCGTAGCACAAAGCGAATAGTGTTAGGCGCGTGGCCAATATTCTTCTAGCTTTTGATTGAGACAGCAAGGCGTTTGTGATTAGAAAACCCCCAAATCAGGAAATACAGCAGGACAATATATTGTAGTTCCTTAGCTGATCATGGTATTATGTAGTAGTTGCTCGATTTTCGCTTGCCTTCGGAGACCACCAACGAAACGCCAAGGTGGAAAAAACGCCTCTATACTATTTTGTCTCAGCTGATCAACAAGGCTTCAACTATTCTCCCATCGCGTGTGTGACGGGGGTTCTTGATTTCCCTCTCTTCAATGCCTAAAATATCGGGCCGCCACAAAGGAGCACGCCGTCACTCAAACGATGCTCCTCAGCGTGCTGGTGGTGTTCCGGTAGTCACAGAGGTTTGACGGACAACAAGTTGATTCATTTCCCAAGACTTATCGTTTTCTTGTCCTCCTTGTGACCGTACGCGTTTTAACATTGGGGGTTTTAAGTTATTATTGCTGAGAGCAAGTGGAAGATGTTCCTTTGTAAATGGACATACTAAGTACCTCTCCAGTTTAGCCAGCTCGTGGCAAACATACCACAAAAAACCCTGGTCCCGACAACGCCACACACATCCAGACGGATAGGGGCTGGATCGCTGGTTGACTGGCTGTCCGTACCCGGACTCAAATTATTTCCTCCAGCCCTGATGTACAGCAGCATCACCACCCAACCACGTTGCAAATCAGTAAGACCTCACGTTTCCGACTGTCACGTCTATCGCGATCTAAACTACGTTGTTGCCGTTGTTGCCAAAGAGTTAGCAGCCCCCACCAGCACACTCAGCAAACCTGACAAAAATCTCTCGTTCTCTTCGCCCGCGCCTTTTTCAATCCGAAACACTAACACCAGCCAGCCACAACAATAACGAAAACGACAAACCCCTCCTCCTCTCGAGAACGCGTGGTCAACAGCTAAGGCATGCGAAAAACATTAGTACCCCCCCCCCCCCCTCCGTTTTCGTCGCTTGGCAGCGATGTTGTAAAACAAGCCGATCACTTCGTGAGATCGACAACCAGGTTACCGCTTTTTTCTTGCCTTTGTTTTTTCTTTTTTGCGGTAACTGTGAATGGTGGTCGAGTTGATTATGTTGTGCGGGGTCAAGAACCCTCACTCCGCGCAAAGGGGATGATCGCACCACGTCGTGTTACATTGGTCAAGCACCCTCGAGGCAGTTACACAGTGCTTTTAACTGTCTCTGGAAATGAAAGCACCAGAAAATAAATTAAGTCATACGCAGCTGTCATCCGTACGCAAGGAAGTAAGCACAAGATGCCGAACACCCTTAGCAGGATGCAGCGGCACCCTTCATGCGACTCGCCGAATACCTCACGGCGCTTCGCGCTTGGTGATGCGAGAGCCTGGTCCGGTGAGAACCCGGCGTGCTCTGTCCCGGCTTTGTAGGGATGCGAGGTCAACGGTCTAACGACTACGGCATGCACGACTATGAGTACACCCCCGCAGTGTGAGTTGTACAGGAAGGAAAGAGAGGATCTCGAGGAGGAAATGAGACAGAGAGGGTGTGACATGGACAAGTTTGGTAAATTAGACAACAGCGAAAAAACGATCGCGATAATTGGGGATAGATGGTGGGCACAAGAGGCCCTAGAGGACGGGGATAAGATGTGCAAGAAATTTTTATGGAGTTTGTGGCAGAAACGTAAAGAGCTCCCAAATGTTGGTGGTGTCTCTAGTAGGGGTAGGAACGGTGCTCCGTCTCGAAAGGGACGCGTGGTCAATGGTCAAATGACTACGGCAAGCAACAAATGAGTACGCCCCCCCCCCCCCCCCTCTCACCGCCGCAGCAGTAGAAACCCCGTTTCTGCCCCCGGCAAGGAGAAAATCCCCGGCACTGCCCGGCGCTGCGCTGTTGCAAGTGCCGTGACACGCGGCTGGCGGCTAGAGCCCTCTCGCCGGCGAGCTGTCCCGGCGTCTGCTCCTTGAGGATGATGCCCGAGCGGACGAGGTCGTGGTGGGAGAACTTCCTGTCTAGGAGGCCGTGCCGCAGGGAGGCCTGGTCGAACGCGGGGAACGAGGGGGAGCCGACACGCAACAGCGGGAGAGAGAGGGGGGGGAAGAGCGATATATACATGCGAACGGGCAGAGAGAGAAAAACAGAGGAAGAGAGGGAGAGAGGGAGAGCGAGACAGCGAGAGGTAAAGGCGGAGAGAGAGAAATAGAGAGAGGCAGGCAGACAGACAGAAAGAAACAGACAGGCGGAGATATGATGGCCCATGAGAACAGACAGACGCAGCACCATGCAGCTTTTGCATGGCCTGCCGGCTCTTTGAGTACAAGTTCCCCACTCGCGAGACAGCAAACCGTTTCGAACGTCTTGGTCCCACAGATGTACGCAGGAATCGCCTTTCCTTATGCGCTTGGCGAGGCGCGCTTGGCGAGGCGCCACAACGTCCAAGCAGAGCAATACGCCCTAGCTCACAGCCGTGCTCATCTTCACAAAACCTCGGCCTTTAGGCGTCAACGCGTTTCCCTCTAAGGTACACCGAGACGTTGAGGACATGAATCAGTACGCTACCTTTTTCTCATCCCGATCCAGCTGCACTCCCTCCTCCGACTCCTTGTACACCCCAGTCCTCATCAGCTCGTGCAGCACGTCCGGGTTGTGGTGCGCCAAACCTTCCTCAACGGCGGCGCGCACCATCGACGAGTGCAGCGTCTCTCCGAGCGGAGCGTTCAGGTCAGCGGGATGCTCGATCTCCTAGGGGGGGGGGGGGAGTAGGACGACGAAGAAGAAGAACGTGGGAATCGGGATCAGAGCAGTAGTAGCGGGATGGAGTCCAAGTGACTAAATAGTCTTGGTTGGAAAATTAGCGAGACTCAGCTACTGAAGTAAGGGAGACTCGGAGTCGCCAGAGGACATGGGAATTTGAGACACTGATTCTTGCCTTCGGCCAAGCTGCATGCACAGCTATATAGGTGCACGCTAGGGGGTGCGAAACGTGCCAAATACACCTCGGTGACCAACAGTAGTCCAATCTGTCTTGTCTATTAGTTGAAAACACACAAAAAAAGTTAAGGTAACGCACCTCTTCTTCTCCGCCCCCCCCCCGTTGGTGGACCGTGAGGGTGGCGCGCAGCAGGCCGACCATGCGGTGCCTCGCCGCCACGAGGTCGCGCCCGGTCGCAGGGTCTTTGGGAGAAGCCTCAGTCGCCGTCGCCAGGTCTGAAAAGAAAAGAAAACGTACGAAAACCGTGTTAATCCGACAAAAGAAAAGAGGTGGTAAGAAGGTAAGTACAGAGTGTGACGAACGAGCTCAACCTTTTGTTTTTCTTGGGAACACAAGATGCGTTGTGCATGTGTTGAAGACGTTTCGGGTTTCGAAAACAGAAAGAGGAATAGAACTTGCATAATGGGAATAGTCAACACTTCGAAAAGTCTTGTGTGTTGTCGACAATTTACGGGTGGGCGGGACAAGCTCAAGAAAAGGAAGATTATGTGAAAATTAACCGCAAAGCACACACAAAGCGGTAAAACAAGCGTGCGGATTGGGGCAACACACGTGCCGCGTCACATCGCCAGGCTATGTACCCACGGAGCCGGTTCAACGTTCTATGACACAGCAAGGTTTGCGCAACAAGGGTTACTGACGGGTTTTGGCGAAACACAAAGCCTCGTTGTATTTGTTCAGACAAACAGTTTGATCGACAAGGCATGCCAGCAACTGCGATACGAAACCACGATGACACGAGAGACACAACAAATCAAGTCAACGCAACGCAGGACACACCACGAAAAAGGACTAGCCATTCTGTCATGAATCCGTCGAAACGGACCCCTTCGGGCGAGCTGTTGCACACCACTACATTCTCCCGGAACAATCCCGGTGTCGACGACAACGCAACGCAAACAAACGCGTCTGTGCGCAATACATACCGCCATTTGTTTAGCAACAGATGTTATTCACCGGTTGAGAGCGAAGCCTTCTCCTCGCACAGCCTAAGAAAGTGCACGAAGCCTTCGAAGGATAGCTCCGTGCACACCCCCCACGATGACCGCTGGTGGACGTGGTGCGTGCCTCCCTTGCCGTCCTCGGGGTCCACAGACGAGACCCCCTTCGTTCGGTAAAAAAAAAGGGGGAAAAAAACAAGGGGCATGGTCTAGACATGTTGGCATGCTTCAGTAATAGTGCATGGTATTCTCCCACCGTTTTCACAGATACCGCACTTCATGCAAGGGGAAAGAAGTCGCGGTTTCCGTTGAGTTCTCTTCAGTGAAAGATATTCCACACTGACGGCTGTTTTCCGAGCTTCGTGGATGTCCTGTACCTCCATGTAGTTTTCGCCTCCTGCTACACAAACTACACACCGCAAGTTGAAAAACTAACTACTGTAACCCCAGCAACCCCTGCTACACATGCCACATGAGGGAACGCCTCAAAAATATTGTGTGATCCACGATTTGTCAGGCGTTATCAGAGCCTACTGCTGCAGTTTGAAATTTCAAGTCGGGTTTATCCCGTATGGAAACGGAATGCAGGTTGGCACAGGAAGGAGAAGAGCCAAGAGTATGACGTCCAAGCCTTTTTTCATGCTTGATGGGCGCTGCTGCAAGCAATACCGAGTCTCATGGCGGCAACAAGTGCGTAAAAGAAAAACATATCGAATTAATATGTCCTGGGAATCTGGGGCTACAACTTTCGGTATGCTTGCTTGGGTGGACCAGCCGTGGTCGCACAGAAAACTCCTATCATGTCGGTCTGGCCTCCATGGTATGGGGAAGAAATGCCAGCAGGATTGAATCCACGCAACATGGGCACGAACGGTCTTCGGTAAACCTCACAGCCGACCTGTCACCTTCACAGCGCACGCTTCAAGCCAGGCGCTCTCCAGATCCTCCACGTAGACATCGCCCTCCGCGATCTGCGCCTTGACCTCTTTAAGCTTGAGGACGCTCCGAAGTCCCACAAACTTTTTGTACCTGGCGTTCGTGGTGTGTGTACATACGGACGATGTTGGTCGAGAACTTCAGGGGTAATAATACAATGCAAATGGTGCTCGACTGCTGCCATATTGCGATGTTTTAAGTGATAAAACTGGGAACAAGAACGTAGATTGCTTGCATGCAGCGACACGAGTAGTGCCGGGGCCACGAGCGCACAACAATGATGATGTAAATAGTGGTGATTGGCGCCCCGTCAAGACAGCCGTGAACACGCTGTCGGGCTTTGAGAATGATGTGTGTGTCAATAAAAAACGTCGACTACTAATTACATTATGCACACTAGCGTTGAAGAGCCTGTCTACTTGAAGCGACCAACATATGTACCAAGAGAGATGTGCTCCAGGCACATTTTTTCTTGGCATATGCATAGATGTACAAGTATGTAGATGGATCTGTCATACGCATACAAAGAACACAACAAATCCAATATCTTCCACAGACAGTCTGAGAGTCCGTGGTACATCTGGTGTTGCACGGTGACCAACTTCTATTTTTCTACGGTTCCCCGAGCAGCAAACAGCGATATCTCCCCTGTGGGTAACAGGCTCGACAAGACAGTTATGATTTGACTACATGTGAGCATACTGCTTCGTCTTCGTCTCTTCGGCACGTGGTCTATAGTCTAAAAGCTGCAGAGTAAAATATTTCCACGGACGACTTGCAACACTTCCACCCTAAAAATGACTGACTCCTGTGGGAATGAATGGTATTGCGCGCTGCCCATTTGCCGAAGCAGAGATGCGATTGTTGGGCCCTTCAAAACGCAAGACGCGCGCACATGTCACTGCATGGCACCATCTCATATTTACTTCTCACGCCCGCAACATGGACACATCCTCCCTCTTCTGCGAAGCGGAGCAGGGACTACATGTACAAACCCTGCTTGTACAATGTATCGACGACTGAAATGTTCCGAGATTTTGTATCATGGTTTGAACGTTGTAATGTTCTCTCGCGCGCAAAGCAACCTCACCCGGCAATGTTAGCGAACACAAGACGTAGATCGTTCAGCTCTCGAGCCACTGCTGCCGCTATGTCGTCTCCCCCGCCGCTGTCGTTGTTGGATCCAGCCATTGCACCGGGTGGCGAGCTTGCGCGCGCAGACTAATCCCACCGCCTCTTTCGACTCCTGCCGCCTCTTTCGACTCCTGCCTGGCGGAGTACATGCATATGTAGAGGGAGAAGGACGATAACGACACATGATGCTTCGAATAGGTGGGCATAGATTACCCTCGTGAATATCAAAGAGGTATGGGCATGTACACGCGCGGATACCTGCCTGTAGGAGCTAGCTGGTTCGGGTCTCTTTTGGTTCAGAGCACTTCATTTTCGCTCCGTGTCTAGGGGCTTGTATAAAGACAGCTGCAGTCCGACGTGGGTCATGTTGAAGAAACCAAGTGCAACTTGTCGTTGTCGAATCGAC